GGAAGCACGATCGGAGGCGGGGCACTTTCAGCCACGGACTTCTTCCGCCGGCGGAAGAAGGACGACTTTTTGGTCACCACTTGATGGCTTCCATCGCGGCCCGAATTGAGCCCTGTCCCACTGTGCTTCAGCGGCTGTCTCCAGCTCTTGACATCTTTGGTCTCGAACTCTTGGGCGGAATGGGAATCGGATTGACTGTAATCAGACGGTCCGAATGTAGGGGCTTTAGAGCCAAAGACTCGACGAAAGAATCCCGGTCGTTCCTTGGCCGGCGCTGGCTCAGGCGGCGGGGGAAATATTGGTTTGTTGAAGGAGATGGTTGGGCTGGGCGCAGGCGGGTCAAGTGAGGAGGGTATTGTAGGCGGAAGCTCTAAGCCTGCATCGCCCAGATTCGCCAGGTCGAGATCTCGGCTCCGGATGGTGGCCGTACCAATGTTCTCTGGGCGAGACTTCCGGGTGGTATTCGCACGCGGAGACTTGATACTGTTCCGTCGGGAGGCCACCGGCGTCCGTGACTGCTGCAGGCTGAGCGAACCGGCATAGTCCCCTTGCGAAGATGAGTGGTTTTTACTGGGGCCTCCGGGAATACTTGGCGTAGGAGCTGCGTCAAAGTCGCTGAAGGACCAGGAACCGTAGTCGGCAACTGGTTCGGAAAAGGGAATGAAAGGTGGCCGAGTACCGAAGTCGAAGCTCGCCGAACGTCTCTCGCCAGTTGAATCCGCTCGGCGACGTAACAGAGGCGGACCAAAGTCTAACTGGGAGGAAGCACTTCCTTTGCTCCCATTTCTCGCAGTATGAGCCCCTGTCGCTGCCGTAGAACTCGGGCGGTAGTCATATAGCTGGCCGCGTGAGCCGGTGCCTTCCCGGCTGCGCGTGCTCCCAAATCTTCTCAGGCTAGAATGGTAATTCGAGCTGCTATTACTCCGACGACCTCTCGGGAGTTGGGACGCATGGCGGGCCGTGCCGTCGTCAAAGGTGCCGTCTACCTCTGACGATAGGGAGGATGAAAAGGTGTGTCCGCGATAACGTCGTTGGGCCAACGACTCCGGTGAACCGTGGCCGTAGAGGTCCGTTTCGAATACCGAGTTAAATAACCGGTAGTCATCCAGCACAGAGGAACCCGCCACGAACTGGTCTAGGGAAAGAAGCATATTATCGACGATGGAGGTGCGGGCCGCATGCTTCGGAGACAGCGATAGGTCGTGGGGATCTCGCTCGTCACAAGACTCATTGTTCTCGTTGGTGTTGTCGGCTGGATTGAAGTCATCTAGGAAGGTCTCCCGGACAGAGGGTCGCGGATGAGTCCCTCTCCTCGTAGGCTTCCCATTGACAGCTTCGGAGGGGGGTGTTCGAGGGGGGGACCGGCTGGCGTGCTGCTGAGGCATATTGAGACTGCCCTGTGGTCAATGGTAATCGAGGTCGACTGGCATTCGTTGTAGTGAACGGAATGAGCGGGGAGAAGGGGGTTGAGCCTTAGGGATATTGGTCGCCAAGTCCCTGGGCACCGTTGGCCATGGACGATCTCAACCAGCAGGTAGTTGAGACGATTGTCCACTTGTCGTGCACACCGTCCTGCGTCAATCGAGAGAAGGAGGGGGTATTGGGCCGGTTGATAGAATCGCGTGCTCAGGACCGGATCTGAGTTTCACAGAAGTCGAACAGACCGTCTTCAAGGCGCAGTCAAGGGTGGTGTGTATCACCTGTCGCACATTGCGTGAGGGGGAGGGGGGGGGAAAGGGAAATTTCGTAGTGTAAGGGGGTAAGTCGATTGATCAAACCAACGTCCTTATGGGAGGATCGCTGTAATCTTTTTGCGGCAAGGCAGATTAGCCAGAGATTCAATGAGGAAGATAGACAGAAGGCGATCCAGGAAAGTTAGAGGCGAACCACCGGCAGAAAGACGCACAGGAAAGGTACGGTCGAGTGTTGAAGCGGGAACCGACCGGTGACGATCGTGGGTCGCCACGATGAGAGAATGAGGGAGTGCAAAGAGTGTGCAGTGTGCAGTGTGTAGTGTAAATGAGAGAGAGAGAGAGAGAGAGAAAGGTGGAAAGGAAAGGAGGGTAGCGATTGAAACGCTTCAGGAATTTTGGCGCAATTGAAGAGGGACAAAAATTGGAAATGAATTGAATGAATGCCTGGAGCAGCCCCCGGACTTGCAGATGGAAATGCGCCCAGGAACGAACGGCGGCCGAAGTGGGATCACCGGAGAAGAAGGAGGACAGCACAAAGTTGTACACTACTCCCTTAGCAGCAAAATCAAAAGCATGGACAGAAGCAGACGTTTAGTCCGTTGGAGTGGTTCAGGGATGGACCATCTGCCATCGTCCACCTTCCAAACTAGTTCCAGTAGCGTTCACTAGTTGCGGGTCTAGAGTCCGTCGCGATAATCAAGAGTCAGTTTTCTCAGGGGCATGCATCCGAGTTCCTGCAGGTTCAATATCTCTCCAGCTTGCGAGTTCAGTCTCCCTTTTGCCTCCCTAACTCACAATCCAACTATCTACGTAGTACGTATTGACAAGTTTGGATCATAACTACTGTACAGTACGTAGTATCAGAAGGGACGATCCAGGAGTGTCTTGCAGCTTGCATGGTTCCATTTAGGGAGGGTCCTTGCTATTCCCAGTTCCAGTGAATTGACTGCCATCAAGTGGAGCCAGTTACTCCGTATTTCTCAATTCCTACTGGATCAAGTGGAAACGGGCCGTCATGCACCCCCCGATCGATAATATCTATCATTTCATACGAAACTGATCCTGTCCAGTCCATGCTCCAGTCTTCCGTGACCCATCGCAGAGCTCCATCGCACCCAAGGTAGGGCAACGACCAAATTTGTCAGTATGCTGGAGATGGATCAAATTCGATCCAACGATGGCTTTTGCGATCAGGCCAGCCTGAGGGGTCTGCATCGATTTCCACCATGCATCATCCATCTATCATCTTTCTTCCCTCGTTGCCGGAGATTTACTCACGCTGGCTGACTGCATCTACAGTCTCCATATTCAGGCACATACATACAGGATGGTGGTCATGCCCACCTTCCGGGGCCCGGAGCTGGGGCATTCGGTCGCCCGAATGTCAGTCAAATGTAAGCCATGCATGAGAAAAATAAATTAAGGAGCTGCTCCTGTCCTCAACAGGCAACCCTCGCAATGTGATACATCGCCGTTTCCTGACGGTTCTAGTGCCGCCACGCACTTGATACACCGGCGTTCACGGTCGATCTCCTACAGGGATGGCATGGCTTCCATGTTTCATCCGCCAGCCAGCCAGCCAGCCAGCAAACAAGCAGACAGGCTGGACTAGATGTTACCTAGATAGAATATCCACCCTCCGCCAGTCCAAACTGTAACTTATTTTTTGGGGTTTCTGATGATTCTGCCGCCATCCACCGATCGGACTGTCGGGGAAGAATTGATCCGAGAGTTGGGCCGAAGAGGCTGATGACATAACCCAACGGCCACTCCATCATCAACAAGCAAAGCAATCAATCAATCAATCAATCACTCCATTCGCTAATAGATCGTAATTCCAACCCCCATCCACCACCACTTCAATCAACCGATAGAGGTAGTGGGTACATGACATCCGTGCCTTTCCCTCCCATGTTTCCCTTAACCACTCATTGAAGATGAATCCTCACATCTCCGTCCCCCGCCAACATGCCAGCCCGGCCAGCTTCGGCGGCACCACCCCAGCAAGCCGCGGGTCTAGTATCCGCATGCCGCGATTCTTCAAGAGGTAGGCTACTTCTACCCCTCTGTGGATGACTGGAAAGCATGTTACCGTCTATCAAAGGGACATCCATGGCCTTTTCCGATCCTCATCGACCGGCTACTGATGCCCCTGGCTGGCTTACAGGCTGTTCAAGTTCCCGCAAATGGACTTCGAGATGGCTATCTGGGAGATGACGTCTTTGTTGATTGCGCCGAAGAAGGTCTTCAAATCAATCTATTACCATGTGAGTTGTTGCCGGCGTCCTGCTCCATAGCGCGCATCCGGTTATGCTGACCCAAGCTTCACCGCAGAAACGTATGTCATTCATTACCCCCAACACCGCACCTTGCCGATATGGCCCGCTTTCCCCGGGATCTTACACACGCTCATCAATACCTATATTAATAACCTCTTACAGAAACGAAAAACACCTGGCACCGTCCGGACCCTTCATTTACCTACCTCCTATCCTTCTTCCTTCTGCTTACCGCCCTCGCGTGGGGACTCGCCTATGCACCCTCCTTCGGCTCCATTGTCCGGCTCTCGTTAATCTTCATCTTTGTCCACTTCATCGGCTCGTCCTTGCTGGTCTCGACAGTTGGCTACTTCGCGATCCCGCGGTTGTTCGGGCCCGATGGCGCAGCCGCATCGCTGACGGGATTCCGCGGCGGGCGTGGACGGAGACGCGGCGCAGCGCAAGGCCTATTCACGCAGCCGGGAGAGAAGGACCAGCTTGAATTCGGATACTGCTTTGATGTAAGTGACACTCCTAGAGCATACTGGCGAGTGGCAGCACCGGCTAAATCGCAGACACTAGGTATCGAATCGAGCATTCTTCCCTCTGTATCTGCATCTCTACGTGGTCCAGTTCCTGGTCCTCCCGCTGCTCCAGCGCAGCAGCAACGCCCTGGCCACCTTCCTTGGAAACACACTTTACCTGTCGGCCGTAACCTACTACACCTACATAACGTTCCTCGGATACAATGCGCTTCCGTTTCTGCACAACACAGAGCTTCTGCTGCTCCCCATCCTGGCATTGGCGGTGCTGTGGCTGGTGAGCTTGATTTGTGGATGGGGGATAGTGGCGCAAGGCCACGGGGTGGAAGGACTGTTCTGGGGTGCATGATTGTTCCCCGCACATGACATGTTATACACACCTGTTCTACCCATTCTTGTGCAAGTAATTTGTCATTTCCGTTTCGGCGCCGGTGTATATGGTGATCATTGGTCTATTTTTATGTCTGTTCTGTCCGTTCAGGGAATGGGTTCGGGAGCATAATGATTGCATAGGTTCGTTTCTGGTGGTCTCCTTTCATACTCTGCTCCACATGAGAGCAGGCAAAAGACATATGGTTCATACTGTACAGCATAGCTGGGTTATATAGCGTCTATCATAGACTCACTTCTGCTACTGTTTCCCCCCACTATACCCCCATCCTCTTCCTTCCACAGTCGAAATAGTCAGATGTAATATCATATATTTTTACCCATTTGCACAGGCATCAAGCCAAAACCAACTCAGTAAGTTAACCAAATCTAAAAACACCAAATGAAACCCCCATCAATTCATTTCCCTTTCTTCCCCTTCTTCCCACCCCCCTTAGCCCCCAACTTCGCCTTCAACTCCTCCGCCCTCTTTCTCGCCGCCTCAGCCTTCTCCTCCTTCTCGACCTCCTTCCTCAACCGCTCCTGCTCCCTCTTCTCCCTCACGAGCGCCAACCGCGCCAAATCCGCCCTCGCCTCCTCCGTCTTCCCCTCCGCATGCAACTTCATATACCGTTCCCTGGCCTGCTGCGCCTCAATAGCTTCCCTCTCCCGTCGCGAAAGCTGCGACAGATCCTGTTGATCCTTGCCAGCACCAGCACCAGCACCGCCAGCCGCATTACTACTACTCAACTGAGACCGAGATTTACTCGTATGATTCGGGTTCGCTGGTAGATCCTCATCCTCGCCATCCGATCCGTCAGAGTTGTCCTCCTCATCCGACGAGGATGGGGGTAAATCGCCCGGTTGCGCCGCGGTTTGGAGTCGCCGGGCTTGCGCAGCTTGCTTTTTGGCTTTGGCTGCGGCGCGACGCTCTTCACGGGTGAGTTCGGGGGCTGCTGAGGCGGTAGAGTCTGCTGTGAGTGGGATAGAGGAGGGGCCGGGTTTTGAGGAGGATGGGGTGTTGTTGTTGTTGTCGTCTTCAGAGTCCGAGTCCGAGTCTGACTCGGATGTGCTGCCGTCTTCTTCATCTTCGTCTATCGAGGAGGGGACGTCCTCGTCTGCATCCTGTGTTTTGTTTAGGCCTTCTGGTTAGAGAGGATTTTCTTTTTGCAGGGAGGGGATGATGCATACCCGCCATAGGCCAACAGGGTTACCGTCTTTGTCGACGGGTTGGACGTCTCGACTGAAGCGTTTTCCACCTGTATGTATGGTTAGTTGGCCCCGGGGAGTTGGGGTTTGTGTTGGCCCTGAAGGTTTTCAAAACGTACCTCCGCGAGAGGGCTTGGAGAACTTTCCGCGACCACGGGGAGCCATGATGTATGATGGGTGAGGAGTAGGGCGAGTAGATAGGGTTCACAGTCGAGGAGAAAATTCAGCGGCTAGGTAGGGTTTTGTTTTCCCACTCCCTGTTGGCAAAGAAAAACTGGAGTTAGCGAGGAGAGGGTTGAGTGATGAGGACGAGAGGGATGGAGGAGTCAAACAAAGGCATTCATTCTCGGAGGGGCTGCGGCGGGGAAGTACCACCAGATCGACCGACACTTACACGATCCAGTGCAGAGAAGCTGCGCCAAATAATAACTCCTAGTATTTTGTACTCCAGTTGGAGACTGAACTGTGGGATGAGAAATAAATGGACTTTCTGGTCTATTGTTACAAATATTGAGAAAACACCACACCCTAAATCCTAACTATTGTACAAAAACAGCTCTGAGTCACGCCGCCAGTTGCCCAGAACAGGCGGGGGGGAGCCTGACTAAGGCGCGGTCGTTCATTGGTGTCATATTTAACTTAAGCTATTTGAGTTAATACACTTTTATTTACTGCTTCACTGCAATTGTCTACTGTATGTATGTACAGTTGGCTCAACTTCAAGTACTGCTCACCCACCGCGGCAGTCATCCTGGCTACGCTCGTTGCCAGGTCAGCCCCAGCTTCGTCACTCTCGCCGCAATCAAGGTCAGCGTCCCCGCCAGAATCGCACTGCCCATGAACATCTGCGCATACAGATATTGCCCATCATCCCGATCGACCAGTGCCCCGGCAATGGGGGTACCGATCAGCGCAGCCACAGCCACTACACTGAGCACCATGCCCATTCTCACTCCGGTCTTCTTCAGATCCGTGGTTAGCGTGCTCAGGGTGGCCGGGAAGAGCGACTGGATTCCTGCTGCTGCCAGCCCATAGAACGCACTGAAGGCATACATCTCGTCGTAAGTGTGAACCGCAGCCCAGCAGAACGCGACCACTCCTGTCACCAGGCTGAACGGGATCAGCATGTTCAAGGGTCCCGTGTACCGATCGGCCATCAGGTTGGGAATCAACCGGCCCAGCAGACCAACACCATTCATGACTAGAAGGACGTCGATCGACGTCGAGTTGGAAACCCCGATGATGTTGCGGGCGAAGCTGCCAATGTAGAAGAACCCTACATAGAGGCCCCAGAAGTTGAGGAACATCCCCAGGGCGAACAAAGCATAGGGCGCCTCTTTGAACGCCCCCCACTCGACGAGTGGTCCGCTGCGACGCGGAGGCAGTCGTTGCTGGAGAAACACCAGGCACGGAATCAGCGTCGCCAAAGAGATGAACCCCAGGGTCCGCATGGTCCAGCCATATCCGATTTGAGGGAGGAGTCGCATGACGACCGCCGGGAAAACTAGGCCGCCGGTGGCAGAGCCCGAGGCCACGATTCCGATCGCAATCGCTCGGTTTTTGGTAAAGTAAGTCGGCATCAGGGCAATGGTCGGGCAGAACATCAGTCCACAACCGATGCCCTGACCAACGCCCTGAGCCAGGAACAGCTGCCAATACTGCGTGCACAGGGAGGTCATAAAGATGCAAAATAATTCCAGGACAGCCCCAACGGTCAGAATGGCTTTGAAATATCCGGCGTCGGTTGCGCGTCCAGAGAAGGTGCCGACGAAGAAGAGTAAGAAGATCTGGATACTGCCTACCCAGGAGATATCGGACGGGGTGCGACCTAGCGTCTCGGTATAGTAGGTTTGGAACACACCAAAACTATTGATGTAGCCCCAGGTGTTGAAGATGACAAAATGAGCCAAGGCTACTTGAGACCATGCCTTGAAGCCGCCATCGGGGGGAGGTCCCAGGTCCCTTCCAGACTCTCGGGTGCGGACTAGGGTCAAGGTTCTACTGGCCAGTGCGCCAACATGGCTAACATTCGTCGGGGTTTTCGACAATTCCTTTTGTGCTTCGGGGCCAAGGCCTACTTCTTCATCACCCTTCTCATTCCCTAGCGGAAGGAATTGTTCAGGAACGGGAGAGTTGGCAGCCTGACTGGGTCCACTTTTCTCCTCATTTGCGGAGATGGTCAAGTCTTGCTGGATATCATGCGATGATCTAGCGGACATCTTGAGGGAACGTATACCCCGAAGGGATATCACAGATTTTCGAAAAGATTTTAATGTCTGGGAGTCTCGTGTATATCAAAGGGTGATGTTTCCTGGTAAATGAAAGCAGGTAGACTAGTTGGGAGACGAGCCAGCCACTCTGCGAGGCACCCAGCTTCTTAATTAATTAATGGGCTTCCACACGACCAGATGGGCTGGCAAGGACACTCTGGATTGTGAAAGCAATCAATCGAAGTGATGGCGCGCACCTGACTGATCAACGAGAAGTGGGAATGAGATCTGAAACAGAATGGGGACAGAGAAAGAAACGGTCAAGGATCAGGCACTATTGAAGTATGCATCGATGCCCCAGCTATCGACTTGATAGAGATCAAGCGAGTTGATATGTGCGTATGACTTAAGGCGCGTCCAGCAGACGGCATCGGCAGCAATTGGTTATAGCAGCGTTGGAAGCGTCTTCCTGCCAAGGACCTTTTCGTGGATCAGCCCTGTAAGAAACGAGATGGATAAAGGAACGACGGCTACGCTGCGTGAGTCAGGAAGCGAAGTAAGACTTGAAAATTAGGAGCTAGGGCTTGAACGGCTCGCAAAGAAGGCCGAAAGCCAACCGCCATGATGGCGGGGAGTAAGGTCGGCAATGTTGTGCCGAATCGGCTAAAGAACGAGAACGATCAGTTTGGGATCCAACAGGAAGCGACACCCGAATTACATTGGCGATAGCTAGGCCTTGGTTACTTCGACGCCCTACTTATTGTCATGGTGCACCACGGTCCCAAAACCCGGGGGCTCCAGGATTCTTGCTTGGGATTGGGGAAACTGGCAGGTGGATCCCCTCCCCACCATTGAGCTATTTTACTAGCTGGTCGGGGGGAGGGGGAATAATACCATTGCCGATGTGATGGGTCATCCCTGGACAGGGGAACAATTCAGGATGAGTTGCCAAAGGATGGAGAAGAAAAAAAAGAGAGGGTGGGGGGGAAGAGAAAGAAAAAAGAAGATATATTGCCAATACAGTCCGGCTTCTTAGTTACTCTTCCGTACTTTCCTTTCTTTATGTATTATGTATGTTAAGCATATTCTCCGAATAATACGAAGGCACGTGCGGCGGACATCTGCCCGGCTTTCATTTTTATCTTTTTTTCTTTTTTTACTGGAACAACGTCATTGAAGTACGAACTACCAGAAAGAAGCCCCCCTGTCCTGCACTACATTTCATCGATAGGTTGTTGATACATCACTCTCCTGGTGGTAGTAGTACTAGTAGTAGTCATAGTCCTGTCACAGCACCAACGACCCATCTTGTTCTCAGTGGCAAACTTAGTACTGGCCATATTACGAGTCGTGAGCAGGAGACGAATTTGTTGAATCGTGCCCTTCATCGGGGCTCTATATTGTTCTAACGCATCATAACAATGGAAGGCATCTGCCTCTCGAGGCCGGCCCATCTATATATAGTCAATTAAAAGCACCATAAACAGGTATCCATGCTGTCTGTCTCGAGCGTCAAGCAGTCATGCTCGAGTTTTTAATGTTCAAGATCAACGGTTGGAAGGTAGGCAGGGGCTGTTGAAAAGAAGACAAGGGAAAAGACAAAGAAGAAACAAAAAAGGTAGGAGAAACCCCCATGCTGGACTCTCGCTAATGGCTGAACGACCCCCCAGAATCCAAATGCCGAATGCATACCCGCTTCGTGACGCCCTCTAACAAATCGCCGCCACCACAGCATCACCTCTACGCCTGGAATAAGAATGGCAAAAATATATATCAATAATCGCAGATGTTAAATGGAAATCAAAGGCGGGTACGCGGAGACCCTGTCCCCGCTTCGAGAAAGACCACCAGTGCAGTATTAACAGACCCTCAATACTCTTGGGAGCACGAGCTATTGTTGAGCATCGAAATGGTTTCAATCACGTCGGCGGGTTCCAGGAGATGCCAGCTGGCGGCCGTTTGCTTTGAGCTTGCACCAACAGTGACCGAGTAGACGTGGTCTTGTGGCAGGTCGAATTTCTGTAGGGCACGGAACATGTCTGTGAATGACAGAGGATTTTTAGCGAAGGTAGACTAAGATGGAATAACGGGAGAGCACATAAGGGGGGAAAGAATTGATAATAAAGAGCTGAGAATGAAAAGGAAAGGAGCCTTACCTTCATCTGTGAAGTCGTCGCCGGAGCAAAAGATAAACTCAGGAGCTTGCCCAGGGCCGGTGCCGTACTCATTGACGAGGCGAGCCGCGATGAATCCCTTGTTAACGAACGTCGGCCGAACTTCCAGGTTGGCTTTCCCGGCCATGACTTCAACTTCCCATCTCTTCCCGACGGTGTCTTCAAGCTGCTTCCGGCATTCGCGAGCCTGGAACGCTCCATACTCCGGATCCGCACGGCGATAATGCCATGTCAGGGCCACGCGCTTTCTTTCGATGAAAGAGCCCTGTGTCCGTTCTGTGAAGTGCTGGAACGTATCCATGACCTCCTTCTGCCAGCCCATGTTACTCCGTTCGGCCAGATTCTCCCAGTCATCCGAGTGGGGCTTGCGAATGAAGCATCCGTGCTCTGCACTTAGTCCTAGCTCGGGGATGTGGCCCATCCACTCATCCAAGAAGGCTTGATCACGTCCACTGATGATCCAGACCGCATTTCGTGGGTCTGCGGCGAGGGTCTTGATAGTACGCAGCACCCGATCCGAGGGGATCGCAGCTTGCGGGTCTTTGACAATCGGAGTAAGTGTACCATCGTAGTCAAACATGAATAGTCTCTTCCGAGCCCGACGGTACTGCCGCACCAGCTTGGCCCGATCGAGGGCCGGCGTTGCCACGGATTGGTCAAATGACGAGAGGTTGGTGAGGAGACGAGTGACAAACTGCTTTGACCAGGACGAGACTGTGTTTGCAGTGACGTGCTTGTAAAGCTTCTGATGCTGTGACATCTTCTCTTCCGGAGACATGGTTAGGGCTTTGTTGATGGCTCCCGCCACGCCGACGGTATCCCATGGGTTGATATGAATGGCATTGGACAAGGTCCCCGCCGTACCAGAGAACTCGGAGAGGATCAAGGGGCCATAGTTATTCTGTTGGCAGATGATATACTCCAAGCTAGTCGTGT